TCAATACCCTTAGTGTAATTCACTAAAATTATGTGAAATTAACTTTTTCTCAATTTATGAAAGATTTTTTTATGAGTATTTGACAATAAACATAATAATGAAGCAATTTACTTTTAATACAATTCGATAAATCTTTGTGATTTTTTTTAAATAAACAATATATGATATATAACGCATAGTTTGCACTTATGGTGTTTAGATAATCTATAAACTCTAGTTTATACAAATGAAAGAAATTTAAAATATAAACACATTAGACTACTAAGAAAACGAGTTATAATAGCATTGATTTTGATTGATATAACATTACTTCTTTATAAATATATATTTGAAAATCATGTTGAATATTCGTTTTACACATTCGAGAGTTCAATAACCCCATAATGATAATTGTAACCGCACTATTCCAAACATTAATGTGGTTAGTTAAATCTATTTGTTATTTTTTGTAAAGGATATAGTAGAATTTGTGTATGTCCAGCGGGCAAGATGCTAATCATAAAATTTCTGTTATTTTCAATTGTTTTGAAAAATTAAAAATATATTAATATTTTCATCACAGCCGCTCAGTCTTATACTGGAGCTTGTGACATGTCTGGTTACTTTAGAGTTTTGTCAACAACTAGTGTGACCACCGCGCCACCCCACGCCCTAGTACTTATTAGTAAAAATAAAAAAATATACTATGTTATGATAAGTATTCTGAATCAGATTCAAAATTGTCAATTTCTTTTTGTTGTCATTATATTAAGAGAAGTTTAAATATTTTAAGTACTTCACTTCAATCAAAAACGGCAACTTTAGGTAAAACAAGTGTTATTCTCGGAGCCGTGCAAGTTTTTTTTTACAAATTAGTTCTGATAATAGATTTTTTTAATTATAGTCAACTGTTAAAGAGCTAACTGAAAAAATAACATAATATTATCTCAAATTAGTTATTTAATTGTTTTTTATATTAATTACTATTTGAATTAAATATAACTAAAATTATTCAATTAAAACGTAAAAGAACACAACCTCCTAGTAGTTTAAACAAGTTCTACTTAGAATCAATGACTGGAGCTTAACATGATGATATAGATAATATTTCAGATTCAGTTGAATTATACTAGAAATGTACACCTTACTTTCCTATATTTTTGTATTATTAACAACCTATAAATTAGATTTTATGATGAAAACATAGGAACGGCTATTGCAATTGATTGATTGATGGATATAGATTTTGAAAAGAGTCTGTATTTCATAAATCATTACAAGGTACTGTTATAGGTTTATTGTAAAGCCCAGAAAATTTTTAATTCCAAAGCACAAAAAGTATTTCTTTGGGTCAATTAAAAGACCTAATGCTTGTGCTGAAAAATTGTTTACTTCTTCGGGAATTATGAATATATATTGCGATGATAACCGTAAAATTAAATAAATTTTATTTTATTTTTTATAATGCTAGTGGTAAATAATGGATTACTTGAGAAATTTTATAGAGGGGTGTGAGCATAACATAAATTCAGCACCCTCAACATTTTTTCTTTAGTTGCACCTATGAATGAACTGCTAACAAATATAAGTAATTGTTTATTGTCACTATTATAATTGTATAAAATTTAATGTAGTTTAATTGTCTTATATATCATCGTATAATTTGTTAAAAATAACTCTAAACACCAATGGCGGCTCGTGGCTTGAACGACGGGACGATCGCACCCCCTACTAAAATTAATTACGAGAAGAAAATTAATTGAATAATTCTTAATTCTACATTTTTATTATAAATGCAAATTTTTAAATAGTACAATAATACATTTGTCGTGTACGAACATTAGAGTTGTTTCCCTCAGCATACGCGGATACGCATTCACACACGAGCAGTGTGTTTGGACGACCGGCAGCGTCGTCCGAACAATATGCAAAAACATATACTATTAGCGAGGCGCTGCAATCGTGTGCTTGCGGTTGGGGTTCAGCTGCGATCTTATGTACACAGGGGCGTATTCACATATTTTCCGCCTATAGGCATTTAAAAATTTGCCGCCCTTCATTACGTTATGACGGAGGGGGCTTATTTTAATATATATTTTCGCCATAACACTACTAATTCTTCCTCAAAAAAAAAGTATTTAAAAATATTTTCCAGCAAATCTATTAATATATATATCATTGTAATAGATAGCTGAGAAAGTATTGAATTACAAGGACAAGGAGCCACCCTTCAGTCTGCTACTTGTGAGTTAGACCGTGCTGTAGGGTCTAAACTCTACCCCTTTAGTAGTTCACTAATTTAAGGGATTGGAGCTGATCAGTTTATCCAACGGGAAGACTCGAGAAGAGCTTGAACGACGAACTCGTCGTCAATATATATACATATATGTAAACATTAATTAACTACCGACGTACGACATAAAATTGGCGCCCAACTTGAGGTTCGTATCGACACGACCCCTCAAAGTTTTTCTCTTTTCGTGGCATCGAAATTTGTGTGTGCGTGTAATTTCGCGTCAATAAGTTGATCCGTCGATCACTACAATACAAGGATTACTTGAAACATTTAACCGGAAGACCCAAGGTTAGTGCAAAATATATTTATATATAATAATTTTATTTAATTATTAAACATTTATGATAATTATTAGGATATATAGCTGCTATATAAAGCTGATTTTGGTCCTCGAAAAGTGTATCTCTAAACTTTATGTGTGCATTTGACTTGGTAGTAAATGGTAATATAATAGTCTGGGCGAGACAGTAACTAGCAGTAAAAGATGACTAAAAATAAGGGGATGTCTTTTGATTTTAATTTTTGTCATTTTTAGTTTCGATGCGAAGCAGAGAGAGTATCAATTTTTTTGTGTGTGTGTCTGTTCTTACTTTTTCTCAGCTATCACTGAACCGATTTTTCTCAACGATACGTCAAAAGATCATAAATTATATCTGGTTGAAGGCATTACCCTCGAAAACTAAAAAAAATTTCCTCGTTCCCAGGAAATGGTGAAAATCCCCCCAAAAATTACCATTTTAAAAAGTCGATAAATTTCAACTTTTTTTTAAAAATAGCTTTAATATATTACAAAAACCCAGCACAGTGGGGTCGTAGTACAATGGAGATGTAGCATAGTTGGGTCAAGTATAATGATATCTGACATTGAATAAAATCACTATCAAATATATATATTTATATATATACATATTTATAATATATAAATATATAAAGGGAAATGGTGTTATTTTTTCCATAATAAAGTATATTACATTAACTTTAATTTAAAATGTATATAAAAGTATCAGACGTTACAAAACACTTTTAAATGTGTTTCGTAAAGTTCTACTTATCAAACATATCAAAATTTCCACTTTCTATATGCATTTTTTTAGGTTTGAACCCCCCCCACGTATATAAGGAAATGATCTGATTTAAAATAGAAATATGTCGAATGCCATAAGTATATATAAATTATTTAGCATTAAAAAATAGAATAAATTAATGCATTTTTTAAAAAGTTATAGAAACATAAAGTTAAAAAATGTAAAATATAATATCAACATTTTTATTACAAAAGAAGCATATTTTGGAATACGGCAATCATTTTCATTATGAAGACTAGAATAATCTAGAGGTTAAATTAATTTTTTTCAAATTAAAGTATACGAGGTCTGGCTATTAAATAATGAGACTGGATACGAAAAAGAGTTTTATTATAAAAATTATTCTACATTCGAATGTATGTTTTTTCCATTGATCGAATTAGTGCTAAGTCTTCTTTGGTGAGGGCTTTTAGGATCTCCGCCGTGTTTTGCTTCGTCAATTCCATAGATTCAAATCGGGTCCATTTCAAAGATAAAATGTATCTTTGGAAACAAAAAAAAATCGCACGGTGCCAAATCTGGCGAGTACGGCGCGTGTTTAAGCAATGGAATACGTTTATCAGCCAAATACCGCTTCACAGATAGCACTTTATGGGCAGGTGTATTATCCTGGTGCAAGATCCACGAGTTGTTCTTCCACAACTCGGGCTGTTTCTTACGAACCCGTTCTCGCAGTGTTGCCAAAACTGACAAATAGTAAATCTGGTTAACAGTTTGACTCTCCGGAACCCATTCAGTCATCACAATACCGTTAATGCCGAAAAAAAATAATCAGCATTTTCATGAATTTTGATTTGGACATCCTTGATTTTTTGATTCTGGACGATTCAGGCGTCTTTCAATGCATCGATCATAGAAAATATGATATCTAATCATATTTTGCCCCACACCTATATGACGCCCTTTAGACGCGCAGTCTCGTTATTGTATAGCCAGACCTCGTATTACTTAAGCCTTAATTTAAAGTACATATAAAAGTGTCAATCTTTCCGAAACATTTTCAAAAGTTAAATTGAAAAAGCTCATTTTTGTGAAAAATTTGCTATTTTGAAATCTTGAAAGGGCTGGGAAAGGGTTAAATGTTCAAAAATATATATCAAATGATAGGTAAAAACCTAAAGTATCTATAAAATAAAAAATTATATTGATTCGGACATTTTTAAAAAATGTATGGCAGTTCTAAGAAAAAAAAATTAAAAAGTGTCAAAAATAACCGATTTTTAAAATTGTAATTTTTTGGGGGATTTCCCCCATTTACGGGGAACAAGGTAATTTTTCCATTTTTTGAGGGTAATATCTTCGCCTAGATACAATTTGTGATCTTTTGACATATTGTTCATAAAATTGTTCCTGTGAGAGTTGAGATTGAGTGGTAACAGACACAAAAAAAAACAAATAAAAAAATTAATAACTTCTCAGCTTCGCATCGAAGCTAAAAAAGCATTATTGATCTATTTATTTATTTCTTATGAGCTGATTTTATGTAGATAATATTTAAAATTAAAAGTACATTTTATATATTAAGAGCGGTTTGTGGATTATACAATTATATTTATTATAAAATATAATTATATAATAATATATATATAACCATATATGCATATGATTATAGAAGCTATAAAAAAAATTTGATGAATATATTAATTTAATTTATTTAAACCTAATTCTTCATAGTAAACTTTTATAAAATTTTTAGAAAATACAATAAGTTTGTCACATGCAGATGAAAAATTGATGGGATTTATTGACCACGGTATATCAATGTTTAACACTAAATTTCGTAATGGACACTGTTTTTCATGCGTTGTATGTAATGAATATCTGAATTTGCTTGATTTTAGAAATTCTGAGAAATTTTGTACATATATTCTTGCGTGATCTACTCTCTGTTTACTGATATCCCCTTTGCTATCCAAAACATCCAATGAATATTTTCCAGAATTTATTTCCTTAAGTAATTTTGATATTAAAGAACAAAAGCATTTTAAATTCGAATTCACATTGTCATAAAAATATTCTCCTATTAGTTCATTTAAAGAAGCCAATGCTTTATACATTACTTCAAACATTTTAGTTGACTTGTGAACTGCATCAAAAATTTGTGTCACCATATTTATAAATATTACATAACAACTTTTTAATCTTTCACAAAAATTTAATATAAATTTTACATATTTGGAATACTTAAACAATATTTCTGTATAAATACACTTGATCAATCTTAATATATGTTGCTTTTTACAATGAAAATTTAGTTTGTCTACAGGGTGTCTAAGAATACGGTCTACGCCTATAACTTGATCATTAAATACAATATTAATATTTTTCAACGATTTCCATCCACTTTCATTAGTAATTGAATTTAATTGTTTGATTTTCTCAGATTGACTAATATTTTCATATAAATGAACTGGAGGTTTGAAAGTACTAAAAAATATATTACTTTGTTAAATAAGTAAAGTAAGTGATTATTAAGTATATAGTTCCTCTAAATTTTTATTTAATAATTTGTTTTTAAAAATGTATATTAAAATTAAATTAATTTTTATTTACTATCAAGATTATTGTAAAAACATTTAATAGAAGCCTATATTAATTTGTTTTAGGATAATGCTTAATGAATTAAATACAATTTTGACTGTAACAGAACCAGTTTCTATAATATTATTTTTTGAATTAATATAATTTTTAAGTATATACCAGGGGTCTACATTGTTGAAGTCTTATTGGGTTAGGGAGCATAGACACTCACATAGCCTATAAATATTACCAAGAACATTTGTTTTGTTTGTCAAAAATTAATAAAGAAATTTAAAAAAATTAATACCACTAGTATATGGATAATGTTAATAATTATAATAAAACTATATTTTGAGTAAATATAAGTAATTATTAAGATAAAAGCTTTAAGGAGCCACAATATTAGAAAACTCAGAAAATATGAGTTTTTTGTCTAGTTAGTACGCTAAATAATACTAATAAAATACAAATAATAGATTTCGTTAAATTTTCAACCATAAAAGAGTTTAGTCGTACATGATAAATATAATAAAATTGACATGATTATATGTTCATTTATAAATTTTCCCTTATTATTCTACACAGTTTTTAATTAGATTTTCTTACCTTTCTTCGTTTAAATCTAAAACTTGTTCAAAGCCAAGATTTTTGTAGAAATTTGTAGAAATTTCAACGTAATACACGTTAAGCCATTCACTTAAATAATTGCTCAATTCAATGTGTTTATAATGTAGCGCTTTATAGTCTTCTAGATTCTCTTCAAGTAAACATTTTGGTTTATGATTGTTAACAACTAAACTATTTTTCACATTAATTTTCTGGTAGNGGGTTTAGTCGTACATGATAAATATAATAAAATTGACATGATTATATGTTCATTTATAAATTTTCCCTTATTATTCTACACAATTTTTAATTAGATTTTCTTACCTTTCTTCGTTTAAATCTAAAACTTGTTCAAAGCCAAGATTTTTGTAGAAATTTGTAGAAATTTCAACGTAATACACGTTAAGCCATTCACTTAAATAATTGCTCAATTCAATGTGTTTATAATGTAGCGCTTTATAGTCTTCTAGATTCTCTTCAAGTAAACATTTTGGTTTATGATTGTTAACAACTAAACTATTTTTCACATTAATTTTCTGGTAGGTTTCGTGACCTTTTCCTTCGATAAAATTGTTCACATCTAAAATAACCTTATAAGAATCTTTTATTGTATTTGGATCGTTTAGGTCAATAAAAATTTGTGTATTTTGTTGACTTTTTAATAGTGAAAATTCTACAAATGTATAAATTTCATTTACTATAGGTACAGAAAAACTTTTTTTTTTATTCGCTAATAATTTAAAATCTATGTTGCTAAGATAGTTCATTACATTGTATAACTGTTCAAACATGTTTTTCGAATTCTCCACAGCACTTTGAAGTAAAACTGTACAACTTAATAAATTATCTCCCTGGATTAAGTTATAATATTCTTGACATCGGTTAGCTATAGCTCTAATATGATCAATAAATGTTTTGATAACTTCTGCGTACATGTAATTTAACACATTAATTATAGCGTCGAATTTTTTTGATAGCGTTAAATTACTCTCTTTACAAAGAATGTCCTTAGCATTAAATCTTAACCATGTAGAGGAGTCATTCTTAATATCTAAATTCTGTATAAAATCCCATCCAACTTGTTCCTTTATATGATCCATTACTCCTGACAAATATTTCTCATATGTTTTTGGTCTTATTTTGCAACTCACAAAGCATTTTGTAGTTAGAATCCAAAAAGTATAAAAAATAGAATAAAATAACTTTGGTAACATGATTCACAATTTTAATTACACAAATTTTAAAGTCAGTAAAATTTTATTAGAAATAATTAATATTCCATTTAAAATATATATTGTAGTACCTAACATTTTTATATCATTTTTATTTAATATGCTATTTTAAACAAACACAGCGGTTGATTATTTTTAATTTTTTAAATAATATATTCAAACAATTTTTTTTATATACCTTATATTTAAAATTTGTATTAACTTCAAATGTCTAATCCATAACTATAACTTATATTTTCACACCATTACATTTGGTTTAATAAAAGCAATTTATTTTATTTTATAAATAGAGTGTTACTTTTATTTTTTGGCATTTTATATTTTAGCTTCGATGCGAATAAATGTTTTTATGACTTCTGCGTACATATAATTTAATATGTGAATTATAGCGTCAAACTTTTTTGATACTACTACATGACTTTCTTTACAAATAATATTCTTAATATTACAGCTTGTCTCTGTAAAAGAGCCATAATTAATTTTCAAATGCTGCATAGAATCCCAACCAACTTGTTCACTTATATGATCCATTACTTCTGAATAATATTTTTCATATGTTTTTAGTGTTATTTTACAACTCACGAAGCATTTTGTAGTTAGAATCCAAAAAGTATAACAAATAGAATAAAATAACTTGGGTAACATGATTCAAAATTTAACACGCATAAAATTTTATAGTCCGTAATATTTTATTAGATCTTATTTATTATTTATGTTAAATATAAATATAGTACCTAACATATTTAATAATTTTAATAATAATATTTTAAGCAAATGCAGTAGTGGATTATTTTTAGTTGTTTAAATATTATGTTTTAATATTTTTTTTATAAACTTTTTACTTAAAATTTGTATTAATTTTAGATTTACAATTAGCAACTTTAATTTTTTTACACCATTACATTTGGTTTAATAAAAAGAATTTTATTTTATTTTATTTTACTAATGCAGTGTTATTTTTATTTTTTGGCAATTTATATCTTTTTAATTTTTTTATTGAGCGAATAAAACAATTTAGGGAACACACTTTTTTAGTATTGACAAAACTTTTTGAAAAATACGAGAATTAAAATAATTTTTTTTTTTTAAATACTTTATATATTTCCATCAAAGGTATATTTCAGTTTTTTTTTTAAGTGTACAGGATTTCAAAATGTCCTATTTTGAAATTTATCAGGCCATATATAAATAGATATACCTACTTAAGCAAATTATTTTTCATTTGATTTTTCCATAAATTATAAATCACAATCAACATATGTAGTAAATATAAACTATAATTATACTTTTTCTTTTTCTTCGCCTTAATCCCAACTACTTGGAGTTGCCCACCCTTATCCTAAACTTCCATTTGACACGATCTCTCACATCATCTACACTCACTTAAGCCATCCACAAATTACATTCAATAACATCCATTCATCTCCTTATTTGGTCTTCCTCTACCTCTTCTTCCTTCAACATTCATTTCTATAACTGTTCTTACAGCTTCCGATTCTTCTCTCTTCATAACATGATCAAACCATCTAAGTCTATTTTCTCTCATCTTATCCACAATAGACGCTACACCTATACTCCCTCTTAAATGCTCGTTCCTTATCCTGTCTTTTCTAGTCACTGCACTCATCCATCTAAGCATTCTCATCTCTACTACACTCATTGTGTGCTCTACTTTCTTATCAAGCGCTCAACACTTTGAACCATACATTATAGCTGGTCTGACTACAGTTTTATAGAACTCACTTTTCAGCTTCACTGGAACTTTTTTAATGCTTAACACATCAGACGCTTCTCTACACTTCAACCACCCGCACTTAATTCTGTGTCTTACATCCTCGTCAATACCATCACTTTGTTGCACAACTGACCCTAAATACTTAACATTCTCCACCTCTCCAATATCGTCCTCACCTATTTTCACTGACCTCCTCATTTCACCTACCTCGTGTTCTCCTTTGTCAAACTCGTACTCTGTATACTCTGTCTTCTACTTATTCTTATACTCTTTTCTTTAAGAGCTGATCTTCATACCTCTAGCCTTTGATTAATTTCATCCTTATTGTCTCCTATTAACACTATATCGTCAACAAACAACATACACCACGGCACCTCTCCTTGTATTTTTCTATTTCTCTATTCATTTGGAATTTTCCCTTCTAATAAGATTTCTTTTAAAAGTTCCTTCAACCACCTTATGCCAACACTACCTAATATTTTCCATATTTCTACTGGCACTTCATCTGGTCCTACTGCTTTTTCTTTTTCATTGATGACACAGCCTCCCATATCTCTTTCTCACTAATTAAATCTATCAGTCACTCATTCCACGAGATATTCTCTAATGTCTGTGTTGGATACTCTTCATTCAGCAATTTTTCAAAATACTCTTTCCATCATTTTTCACATCATCTACACTCAAGAGTACCTTATTATCAACACTTTTTGTACATCGTATATAATGATAATCTTTAGATCTTTTTTTTTCTTACTTTTGCAAGTCTATAGACTTCTTTTTCACTGTCATCTGGTATAACTGTACAATCTTTTACTCGTTCTACGTTCTCTGTTTTCCACATAAAATAATCAATCTGTAATCTACTACTCCTAACCTTATAAGTTTTATAATGTTCTTTACTCTTTCTAAAATAAGTATTTACCACAGCAAGATCATACTACAAAATCCATGTACTCTTTAATACCCTTTCATTACCTACATGTTCATTTATATTTCCACCAATCAACGCATCCTCATAACCAGGTATTCTTTGCATCACCTCATCTATCTCTCTCCAAATCTCTTCCTTGTCTATTCATCACATCCCACTTATGGTACATAGTACTTTTTATATTCAACACCTTTTCCTCAAAAATTAATTTTACGACTATAATTCTGTTACTTTTTCTAGCTACTTCTGTTATATTACTTATCATCTCATTATCCATTATTATCTCTACGCCATTTGTTATATTAGACTTACCTGATTATATTATTTTATAATCCTCACCTATTTCTCTTGGTTTCTAACCCTTCCACTTAGTTTCCTACACACAACAAATGTTAACTGTTCTCTTCTACAATATTTCTACTAATTCTCTACTTCTACCAGTTAATGTCCAACATTCCAATATCTATTCTTATTTTGTATCTATCTATCTCTCTCATATACGAGTCCAGCATAGAATCAAGTAATGATGTTCCTACACCGTTGACACTACAAGCGATGGGTAGACCTGTACATATGACTGGTATCAAACACTTTATTCCTTAGGCTTTCTTCGTTTTTAACTACTTTATTTCTTCTTACCTGGTGTCTCCATGAGATGGAATATACGGGATGTAATCCGCCTAAGTTTTGTTCAGGATTCCACTTTTTCTCAGCTCTCACTGAACTGATTTCTTTCAACAATACGTCAAAAGATCACAAATCGTATCTAGTCGAAAACATTACCCTCAAAAATTGAAAAAATTTCCCTCGTTCCCGTAAATGGAGGAAATTTGAAAAAATTACAAATTAAAAAATCGCTAATTTTCGAAATTTTTTCATTAATTTTTACTTATAACTTTTTCAAAAATGAATAAATCAATAAAATTTTTTTTTTTTTATAAATGCTTGATGCCTTTACCTATTATTTGGTATATTTTTTTTATAAATTTAACCCTTTACCAGCCCACAAGGGGGATTCAAAATGACAACTTTTTCTAAAAAATTAACTTTTTCAACTTAACTTCTGAAAGTGTTCCGGAAATACTGACACTTTTATATATATCTTAAACTAAAGCTTATGTAATATACTTTAATATTAAAAAAAGAAATGTCGGACTTTATTTTGTCTTCATGGTGAAAATAGCTACCGTATTCAAAGATATGCTACTTTTGTGTTAAAATTCTTGGTTTTGTATTTTATTTTATTATAGGGGATTAAACTGATTTTCATAAATATTATATCAATCTAATTGACATAGTATAAAAAGTTTAACATAATTAAATTTTTATATTTCTTTGAAGTCGAGATACCTTTAAAATTTGAACTAGCTAAGTTCCCATTTTTATTAAGTGACGGTTTCTGAGACGGTAACACATGGGTCTTTCACGCCTGTGGCACTGAATTTTTTCTTAATTCTTTTTGAGTTAGAAAAAAATGTTTAACTCATTTGATTTTTATCTTATTTAGATTCGATACTCCAATAAATATCATGGATACCATTTCTGTAGTCTCCTCTTGTGAGAAGAAATTCATATTAATATTATTTTACTATGTGGTTTTTTTTTTTGTAGCTATCATTTATTTTCTCAAATCTCACTTGACCTACTTTTTTGACAATTTTTTTTTTGTTTAATTAAACACTATTTACAGATTTGCATCAAAGCGTTTTTTATGATAGTGATTTTAATCACTGTCAGATATCATCTATACTAGACCCAACTATGCCACAACCCCACTGTGCNAATCACTGTCAGATATCATCTGTACTAGACCCAACTATGCCACAACCCCACTGTGCCGCCACCCAACTGTGCTATTTTTGAAGTGTACTAATATAGATAATTAAATTCTCCCATTCAGTTTTTATTAATTATAAAAAGTTTGAAAGGTTACAAATAACAAAAAAAAAAAAATCGAATTAATTGGCCACAACGGATAAAATTTGTAACTAACTTTGTGCATTGAAAAATACAAAATGAGGGTCGCCAACCCACTAGGCGAGATAATCTACTGACGGACCACAGTAGGATTTAAAAAATTAAAATATTGTACATTGAAGACAATTTAATATAAAAAAAATAGTAAAGATATAAAGGTTGTTCAATTGTAAAGTCATTATCAAATATAATTACTACTAATAATAATAAATAAAAGAAAAATATTTTTTTAATTGAACAGGCCATAATAATACTAAATACTGAAATAAATGACTTAAAATTAACTAAAGTAATATTTGATGTTTTTTGAGTTGTTGATAGTTGATGTACACCAAAACCTCGCGACAGTTGTCACATAACCATGTTATCATGTTACCATGATGACCTTAT